GATAGGAAAAGAAGAAGTGAAACTCTTGCTGTTTGCAGATGACATGATCCTTCATTGTCTCTTATAATGGTCTTTAACATCTGTTTTATTTCATATTAAGTATTGGTACTCCCATTTTCTTTTCATGTCCATTTTCATGGAATATCTTTTTCCAGCCACACTCTTTCAGTCTGTATGTGTCCGTATATCTGAGGTGGTTTTCTTTTAGATAGCATATATAGGGGTCTTGTTTATGTATCTATTGAACCAATCTATGTCTTTTGGTTGGAGCATTTAATCCATTTACATTTAAGGTAATTATTGATCCTATTACCATTTATGTAATTGTTTTGGGTTTGTTTTTGTAGGCCTTTTCTTTCACTTATGTTTCTTGTCTAGAGAAATACCTTTAGTATTTGTTATAAAGCTGGTTTGGTGGTGCAAATTCTCTTAACTTTGCTTGTCTGTGAAGCTTTTGATTTCTCCTCTGAATCTGAATGAAATCCTTGCTAGATAGAGTAATCTTGGTTGTACCTTTTTCCTTTCATCACTTTAAGTATCCTGCCACTTCCTTCTAGCCTACAATTTCTGTTGAAAAATCAGCTGTTAGCCTTGTAAGGATCCCCTTGTATGTTACTTGTTGGTTTTCCTTTGCTGCTTTTAATATTTGTTCTTTGTGTTTAATTTTTGTTAGTTTGATTAATATGTGTCTTGGCATCTTTCTCCTTGGGTTTATCCTACATGGGACTCTCTGGGCTTCCTGGTCTCGGGTGGCTATTTCCTTTTCCATGTCCGGGAAGTTTTTGACTCTAATCTCCTCAAATACTTTCTCATACCCTTACTTTTTTTCTTCTTCTGGGAGCCCTATAATTTGGATGTTGGTGCACTTAGTGTTGTCCAGAGGTCTCTGAGGCTCTCCTCATTCCTTTTTAGTCTTTTTTCTTTATTCTGCTCTGCTTCAGTTATTTCTACCATTCTATCTTTCAGCTCACATATACACTCTACTGTCTCAGTTATTCTGCTGTTGGTTCCCTCTAGTTTAATTTTAATCTCAGTTATTGTGTTGTTCATTGTTGATTGTCTATTCTTTATTCCTTCTAGGTTCTTGTTAAACATTGCTTGTATCTTCTCAGTCACCCCCTTCATTATATTTATCTGTGCCTCCATCTTATTTCCAAGATGTGGATCATCATTACAATCATTCTTCTGCATTCTTTTTCAGGTAGATTGAATATTTCCTCTTCATTTGTTTGGTCTTGTGACTTTTTACCATGTTCCTTCAAATTCTGCCTGTTTGTCTGTCTTTTCATTTCATTTAATTTACTGTGTTTGGGGTCTCCTTTCTGCAGACTGGAAGGTCATAGTTTTTCATAATTGTGGAGTCTACCTCCGTGGGTGAGGTTGGACCAGTGATTGTGAAGGCTTCCTATTTTGGGGGACTTGGGTCTCTGTTCTGGTTGATGGAGCTGGATCTTGTTTCTCTGAAGAGCAGTGCCATATTCAGTAGTGTGCTGGGGTGTCTGTTGGCTTGGTATGGCTTTGGGCAGCCTGTCTTTGGGCAGAGTTGAGTTCCTGTTTTGCTGAAGTTTTGACCTGAGATGTGCGGCTCTGAAGCTTGCTGGCCTTTGTTGGGGGCTTGGTCTTAGCGTTGAGATAGAGGCCTTTGGGAGTGTTCTCGTTGATTAATGTTCCATGGATCTGGGAGTTCTTTGGACTCAGGTCTCCCACCTCAGGAGTTTAGGTCCAGCTCCTTACAGTAGCACCAAGACTTCACAGGTCACACAGCACAGAAAACAAGACCCCAAGAATAATGGTAAAAGCAACACTCAACAGCCCAGAGCACCCAAAGAAACTCACATACTTACAAAAGAGAAAGGAAAAACAAAGGATAAAAAGAGGAGTCAAAAGAGAGCAGGCAAACCAATAGAGAAACTTATACATGAAAATGAATACTAAAAACTAGACTAGCAAAAACACAAAATCAAAAATATGGGAAAATACAATATAACTAAAGAGTACTGTAAAAGTAGGAAAATAAAATGAATTTATTTAAAAATAAGATGTTTCAAAAATAAGAAAAAATATATTATAAAAAAGAAAAATTAAAAGAGTAATGAAGAAAATACTTTGGCCACCTGATGTGAAGAACTGACTCCTTGGAAAAGCCCCTGATGCTGGGAAAGACTGAAGGCAAGAGGAGAAGGGGACGACAGAGGACGAGATGGTTGGATGGCACCACCGACTAGATGGATATGAGTGTGAACAAGCTCTGGGAGTTGTTGATGGACACAGGGAAGCCTGTTGTGCTGCAGTCCATGGCATCACAGAGAGTCAGACACAGCTGAATGGCTGAACTGAACTGAATGAAGATAAACAACATTAGAGCAATATGGAAAAGAAAAAATATATATAGAATGATATTAAGAAGAATGTCTTTATGATTTCTCCATTGACTTCTCCACACAGTGTGCTATAGTCAATCTGCCACTCAGAAAGTCCTCCAATATTTCTAGGGAAATCTCTGGATCTGTTGTTGACAGTGGGAGGTTGGCTCAGATTCAGATCTTCCCTTACTCCAGCTTATACTTGCTCCCCAAAGCCACACCTGCCCCTAGAGTTCACAGTCTCAGGCTGATTGTGGGGATTTAATCTATTGCATCTGCAGCTGCAGGAGCGATTTCCCCTTTTCTCCGTTGCTCGCAGAGCTCCTGGTGTTCCACTCTGGTTCTGGCCCTGTCTCTGCTTGTAGACTGCCCTCTGGTGTCTGTCCCCTGCCCAGACAGGAGGGGGCGAAAGTAGCAGCTTATTAGGGCTCACTTGCTCCGTTGGGCTGGGGAGAGAGAGGGGTCGGGCAGACACAGTTGGGGTGTGTGGGGAGTGCCCGCTGTGACTGAGACCCGCAGGAAATCCCTGAAGTCTGGGGTGGATTGTGTGCTTCCCCAGGGGGTTTGGCCCTGGGCTGTGGGTCCCCAGTAGAGCCAAGCTGCTCAGGCTCCCAGGAAGGTGTGGTCAGTGACCTGCGCTCTCTCACAGCATGGTGGCAGCTGTGACCTCTTGGAGTCGAAACCGTAGCGGCCTCCTGTCTTCTGCCTTTGGCATTCACACCTGCTTTTCTCCTTCTGGGGTCACAGACTGCAGCTGGCTTATCCCACCTACGGCACTTGTGAAGGCGGGGTCCTGCATTCTACGCGTGCAGAGTTAGAGCATTCCCATGGCAATAGTCTCTTGCCTCTCTGGTGGGCCCAGGCTCTTCTCTGGACTCCCTCAGCTGTGTTTCACTAGTCCCCTCAGAATATCTTCATGACAGCCAACGCCAGTCCTTTCCCTGGGGTCTGACCCCTGAAGCCTGAGCTATGAGCCTGCACGTGCTACTGTGGGCATGTAAGCCACTTCTTGCCGGGAGTGCCGTTTGGTTACAGTCTGGGGAATTCTCTGCATTTTGCCTCCCCAGCACCTGTTGAGGGTCCAAAGCTCCTCCCAGACTGCCTGTGAGAAGGCTTCAGAGTGTGTGGAAACATTTCTGCTTTCAAAACTCCCTTCCCCATGGCACAGGTCCTGGTCCTGAAATCCTTTGTCTCTTTTTTTATCCTTATCTTCTGCCCCGTCTCATTCTGTGGAGATTGACTTGCCTTTTTGGAAATCCCCAGGGTCTTCTGCCAGCATCCAGAATGTGTTCTGTAGGAGTTGTTCCACATGCAGATGAATTTTTGATGTATTTATGGAGGGGACGGTAATCTCCCTGTCTTATTCCTCCATCATCTTAAAAGTCCCTGCCTCTGAGAATATGTTAACTGTTCTCACCATACACACAAAAAGTAGTTATGTGATGTGATGAATGTGTTAACTAGCCATATTGCTGTGCTTATAATTTTACAATAAAAACACATATCAAATCATAATGTTATATACTATAAACTTATATGTTAATTTATCTTAATAAACTTGGGGTAAAATAATAACTCAGAATTTCCCCCATACCTTAATCATTGACCCTATCTTCAATATTCTCTTTTTATTCTTATATCCACAATATTTCTTCTTTTTGTAGTAATGTTCTGTAGTAATGATACACACATATAAATATTTTTAAATAGATGGATTTCCCTCTTATTCACATTCCTCAAAGTCCTAGCATGTATATATTTAGTTTTATGACCCTGATTACATACAGCTATATTGCAAAGAATTTTACCAATTTCCAGACTACCAGAAACATAAGGCAAAATGTATCCCCTGTTAGTGGCATTATTTTCTTGTGTTTTCTTCTTTTCTTGAATTAATTCTTATATTTACTAATTTTGGGAATTTGTAGCAAAAATACTTTATCCTATCTTCAGTAATAGGATGTTTTAAATTTTTTTCCCAAATTTTCAAGTAACTCACTAAGTATTATCTTTCCTTTTCTAGTTTTTTATTTGACCTAAACTTTAATCACTTATTTGCATGATGGGCTAATAATGTGGAATGCTGAAAAGACCCACAGTAATATGTTGAGAAATTTATAAGCTTTTTCCTCTTAGCTTTTTCATATTTTGAGTTTTTAAAATTAAAGAACAAACTGTGAGATTTATTTGAAAAGTTAGTTATAATTTGTATAGTTTATGGTAAGGTTGTAGCATAGAATTAGAAGAAATTTTCTTGTATTCTTGTTATACAGTGATGTGCATGCATATGTGCTAAGTTTCTTCAGTAGTGTCTAACTCTTTGTAAACCTATGGACCATAGTCCCCCAGGCTTCTCGGTCTATGGGATTCTCCAGGCAAAATTACTGGAGTAGGTTGCCATGCCCTTCAGGGGATCTTCCCTACCCAAGGATCGAATCCATCTCCTGCATTGGCAGGCAGGTTCTTTACAACTAGTGCCACTTGGGAAACCCATATAATGATTACATGGGCTAATCATATAAGAAAAATTACAGTTTATGAGCAATTTTCACTCTTACAGTCTGTGAAACCTGATGTGCATTGTAATTATCATTGCTATAAAAATACTAATAACTACCTTCCTTTTTATCTTGACAGATGGTATACTGTTCTCTGACAGATTTTCAAAAAGCTGTCTATCAAACGGTATTAGAAACTGAAGATGTGTCTTTGATACTTCAGTCTTCTGAGCCTTGTACCTGCAGTAGTGGCCAAAAAAGGAGAAATTGTTGTTATAAGGTAAGCATTTCAGTATGGTATGTTTCCCTGTTAGCTCAGATGATAAAAGAATCCCCCTGCAATGCAGGAGACCTGGGTTCACTCCCTGGGTTGGGAAGATCCCCTGGAGCAGGGCATGGCAATGCCCTCTAGTATTCTTGCCTGGAGAATCTCCGTGGACAGAGGAGCCTGGCGGGCTACAGTCCATGGGGTCGCAGAGTCCGACACAGCTGAGCGACTGAGCACATTACATGGTGTCTCTACTGTCTTATTTTTGATTATATAGTACTCAAGTCTAGTATCAGAGTAAGCAGCAGCTAATAGAACTTTTCCTCACGTGGTTTTTTATCTGTAGAAGCTGTGTCACCATATATACTTCCTGGAATGAGGACTTTCTCTCCTCTTTTGTTAAAAACATCATTGTGTTATGGTTGACCAAAAGTACAATTCCACATTAGTGATTCATGGATATTTTGTGTATCATTTGACCATTATTTTCTCATAATGTATTGTGCTGATAGTAACCGGATAATAAATATTATTGTAAGTGATATATTTTTGGTATAATTAGTTACATAGCCGTGTTAGTCCCTTGCTTATTTTTATTTTCTGTACTTTTATGGTTACAGACCAATTCACAGGGCGAAACAGTGAAAACATTGTATTTCAGTTACCTTGCAGTCCTTCAGAAGGTAGCTAACCATGTGGCGTTACTGCAGACTGCTAGCACCTCTAAACAACAGGTTTGGGTTGGCTTTTTAAATTTCTTTGTGATGCTATTTAGTGTATTTGGTATAAAATTTCTTAGCCAAATATCCTTATCTTTGTATGAAATTGAAGAGGTAACTGACCTGCTTGTTTTTTAATTTAGATGTCAGAGAAGTTTATGCATTTAAATTTTTAATCAAAGTGAGAAAAGTTAACCTTAAAGTAAATCTTTTTTATGCCTCTGATATGTTCATACTATTTTCATTTTCCTAATAACTTTTGATATATTACCAACTAAAGATATTTGATGAGTCCATCCTAATTCCACCAATAATATATCTAATTATCTAATCTACTGTGTTAAAATGAGGCTTTATAATAATCTGTATATTAAATATTTAGTAAAAATCAGTAATTTCAAAATTTAGGCACACATGGAGTCATTGACTTTAGTCATGTCAGTTGTGTCTAAAGCACAATGTAAATAAAAAGATCTTTTTAAAAGCTTTTTATATAATGTTTTCATATTTTGTTTTTGTGTGATAAGCTTGAGGCTGTTGAAATGTAATTTTAAAAGACTACTTTTTGAGAAGTATTCAGTTCCTTATTTTGAAAATCTTAAAAAAGTAACGGTAGAATTAGTAACCATATCACTATCTCAGAACTTGTCAAAGCCTTACATGTTTAACATATCACTTTAAGGTATTTTGAGTTAAAGAAGGTAAAACTTTCAACCTAATACATTCCTTCTAAATATATTTTTTATAAATATTTTCAAAGTATACAGGTTTAAAAGTGCTGAGATTTCTTTTCTTCTTCCTTTTTCCCTTAAGGAAACACTTATCAAAAGGATATGTGATCAGGTATTTTCCAGATTCCCAGATTTTGTGCAAAAAAGCAAGGATGCAGCCTTTGAAACACTTTCTGACCCAAAATACAGCGGAAAAATGAAAGTAAGTGTTGTTCTTTCAGTTTGCATACATGCAAGGATGATGTATTTAAAAGTTTATATATTTATCATTTAAATAAATAAAATGGGTTGTCTTCATTATATAGTTCAGAAAAACCTTATGCTTAGTACAGAAAATTTCTTTTCTTTCCTTTGTGGTTTTCTTTTCCACGGTGTTTGGAGCTGTCATTGCCAGATGTGTAAATGCCTGTTTTAAAAATAACAATATCACTATTATTACATAGGCTTTGGATTATTTGCTTCCTCTCTAAACACACTGCATATGGGGCCAAATTATTGGCATTTTGGCATCAAATCAAATCTGGAATTCAGAACTTACTGTAATAGAGAAACAGAGGGGATAAAATGAGAAGAGGTATATATCTGACTGATTATTGTAGAAAATAAATATCAGAGTTTTTAGAACCTAGGTATAATTAAACACATTTTATTACATAAAGAAAATTTGAATATTTACTAAAAGAAATTTGTTATCGTTCAGTCTCTAAGTTATGTCCTCCTCTTTGCAACAGCATGGACCTGCAGCAATCCATGCTCCTCTGCCATCCTCTATCTCCTGGATTTGCTCGAATTCATGTTCATTGAGTTGGTAATGCTATCCAACTATCTCGTTCTCTGTCACCCCCTTCTCATTTTGCCTTCAATCTTTGCCAGCATCAGGGTCTTTTCCAGTGAATTGGCTCTTCGCATCAGACGGCAAACCTTCAACTTCGGCTTCAGCATCATTCCTTCCAATGAATATTCATGATCGATTTCCTTTAGGATTGACTGATTGGATCTCCTTGCAGTCCAAGGGACTCTAAAACGTCTTCTTTCTCTAGCACTACAATTCAGAAACATCAATTCTTCAGCACTCAGCTGCCTTTTTGGTCCAACTCTCACAACTGTACATGACTACTGGAAAAACCATAGCTTTGTAGGCACAGTGATGTCTCTGCTTTCTAGCATGCTATCTAGGTTTGTCATAGCTTTTCTTTCAAGGAGCACGTGTCTTCTGATTTCATGGCTGCAGTCACTGCAGTGATTTTACAGCCCAAGAAAAGAAAATCTGTCACTGCTTCCACATTTTACCTTTCATTTTGCCATGAAGTGATGGGACTGGATGCCATGATCTTGTGTATGTGTGTGTGAGTTGCTCAGTTGTGTCCAACTCTTTATGACCCCATGGGGTGTAGCCAGTCTCTTGTCCATGGGATTCTCCAGGTATAGGACTGTAGACTATCAGGCTCCTCCATCCATGGGATTTTCCAGACAAGAATGCTGGAGTGGGTTGCCATTTCCTTCCCCAGGGGATCTTCCCAACCCAGGGATCGAACTTGGGTCTCCCACATTGCAGGCAGATGCTGTACCCTCTGAGCCACCAGGGAAGCCCCAACTAAGCCATGATTTTAGTTGTTATTAATGTTGAGTTTCAAGCCAGCTTTTTCACCCTCCTCTTCACCGTCATCAAAAGGCTCTTTGGTTCCTCTTCACTTTATGCAATTAGAATGGTATAATATGTATATCCGAGGTTGTTGATATTTCTCCTGGCAATCTTGATTCCAGATTGAGATTCATCTAGCCCAGCATTTCGCATGCTATACTCTGCACAGAAGTTAAATAAGCTGTGTAACAATATACAGCCTTGTCTTACGCCTTTCTCAATATTGAATCAGTCAGTTGTTCCGTGTCTCGTACGCCTTTGTCAATGAATCAGTCAATTGTTCCATGTCTCGTTCTACCTGTTACATCTTGAACCACATACAGGTTTCTCAGGAGGCAGAAAAGGGGGTATGGTACTCCCATCTCTTTTAGAATTTTCTATAGTTTATAGTGATCCACAAAGTCAAAGGTCTTAGCCTAGTCAATGAGGCAGAAGTAGATGTTTTTCTGGAACTCGCTTGCTTTCTCCATGATCCAACAACTGTTGGCAGTTTGATTTCTTCTTCCTCTGCCTCTTTGAAACCCAGCCTGTACGTGTGGTTTATGTAGTGCTGAAGCCTAGCTTGGAGGAATTTGAGCATCACCTTGCTAGTATGTGAAATGAGCACAATTGTATGGTAGTTTGAACATTCTTTGGCATTGTCCTTCTTTGGGATTAGAATGAAAGCTGACCTTTTCCAGTCCTGTGGCCACTGCTGAGGTTTCCAAATTTGCTGACATACCGAGTACAGTGCTTTAACAGCATCATCTTTTAGGATTATAAATAACTCAGCTGCAGTTCTGTTACCTCCACTAGCTTTGTTCATAGTAATTAGTAATGCTTCCTAAGGCTCACATGACTTAACACTGCAGGATGTCTTGCTCTAGGTAAGTGCACCATTGCGGTTATATGGGTCATTAAGAGCTTTTTTTGTACAGTCCTTCTGTGTACACCTTTTCTTAATCTCTTCTGCCTCTGTTAGGTCCATATCATTTCTGTCCTTCATTATGCCCATACTTGCATGAAATGTTCCCTTGATATCTCTAGTTTTCTTGATACTAGATAGATATCTAGGTCCAAGTCCTAAAAGAAATTCTGTTCTGCAATTTAGTTTCTGAACATACTGTAAGTATAAAAAAGTGTCTTTGGAAATTAAATTAATCCATTTAAATGCATCTTATAATCTAAAATGCTTCCTTTTTATTAAAACCAGATGAAATGAACTAAGTCCTTGAGCAATTTAATTTACCTCACTTTTAACAATATGAAGATGAATTTCATGTAATATCTAATACTTTAAACTTGGAAAAAATGAAGGAAATTATCAAAGATTACTGAGACTATATTGTATAAAATAATTTAAAAAAATTCTTAAGTGATGTTTATGTATATAAAGTATACTTTTTATTGAAACTGGTTCACTGATGTTCTTGTGGTTCCCTTCCAGGTTCTTCAGCAGCTTTTAAATCATTGCAGGAAAAACAAAGATAAAGTTCTTCTTTTCTCCTTTTCCACCAAGGTGAGTTTTGTCTGAAGCATATTTTTGATTGACTCAGGTCTAGTTCTTGAGGCTTAAAAGTCTATAAAGAGATCTCTGTAGCTTAAAGAGATAAAAAGAGCTTCCAGCCACATTTACTGCTTATGTATTTTCTGTCAGTTCAGTTCAGTTCAGTTCAGTCGCTCAGTCGTGTCCAACTCTTTCTGACCCCCTGGACTGCAGCACGCCAAGCTTCCCTGTCCATCCCCAACTCCTGGAGCTATCGAGTTGGTGATACCATCCAACCATCTCATCCTCTGTCGTCCCCTTCTCCTCCCACCTTCAATCATTCCCAGCATCAGAGTCTCTTCAAATGAGTCAGTTCTTTGCATCAGGTGACCAGAGTATTGGAGTTTCAGCTTTAGCATTAGTCCTTCCAGTGAATACTCAGGACTGATTTCCTTTAGGATTGACTGGTTTGATCTCCTTGCCGTTCAAGAGACTCTCAGGAATCTTCTCCAACACCACTGTTCAAAAGCATCAATTCTTTGGCGCTCAGCTTTCTTTATAGTCCAACTCTCACATCCATACATGACTACTGGAAGAACCATAGCTTTGACTAGATGGACTAGATGACTAGATTACTTTGTTGGCAAAGTAATGTCTCTGCTTTTAAATATGCTGTCTAGGTTGGTTATAACTTTTCTTGCAAGGAGCAAGCATCTTTTAATTTCTTGACTGCGGTCACCATCTGCAGCGATTTTGGAGTCCAAAAAATAAAATCTGTCACTGTTAACCCATCTATTTGCCATGAAGTGATGGGACCGGATGTCATGATCTTAGTTTTCTGAATGTTGAGCTTTAAGCCAGCTTTTTCACTCTCCTCTTTCACTTTGATCAAGAGGCTCTTTAGTTCTTCTTCACTTTCTACCATGAGAGTGGTGTCATCTGCACATCTGAGGTTATTGATATTTCTCCCAGTAATCTTTATTCCAGCTTGTGCTTCATCCAGTCCAGCATTTCTCATGATGTATATAAGTTAAATAAGCAGGGTGACAATATACAGCCTTGACGTCCTCCTTTCCCTATTTGGAATCAGTCTGTTGTTCCATGTCCATTTCTAACTGTTGCTTCTTGAGCTGCATACAGATTTCTCAGGAGGCAGGTAAGGTGGGCTGGTGTTTCCACCTTTTGAAGAATTTTCCATAGTTTGTTGTGATCCACACAGGCAAAGGCTTTGGCATAGTCAATAAAGCAGAAGTAGATGTTTTTCTGGAACTCTCATGCTTTTTCAGTGATCCAGCGGATGTTGGCAATTTGATCTCTGGTTCCTCTGCCTTTTCTAAAATCAGCTTGAACATTTGGAAGTTCACAGTTCACATATTGCTGAAGCCTGACTTGGAGAATTTTGTGCATTACTTTGCCAGCATGTGAGATGAGTGCAATCGTGTGGTAGTTTGAGCATTCTTTGGTATTTCCTTTCTTTGGGATTGGAATGAAAACTGCCCTTTTCCAGTCCTCTGGCCACTGCTCAGTTTTCCAAATTTGCTAGCCTATTGAGTGCAGCATTTTCACAGCATCATCTTTTAGGATTTGAAATAGCTCAACTGGATTTCCATCACCTCCACTAGCTTTGTTCATAGTGATGCTTCTTAAGACCCACTTGACTTCACATTCCAGAGTGGTATATTCTTACCACCTCTTCCTAATATCTTCTGCTTCTTAATAATTTCTGTAGGAAATGGAAATGAAGCAAACAACTTTTAAAACAGATACTTAAATCTCAGTTATATCAGAACTACTTAATAACTATCAAATAGCAAACATAAATTTCTGTTTCTCTACTTAGATATTTTTGTCAACAATTAAAATGTTAAGATATTTAAGATATTTTAGAATATGGACTATAGCAAAAATAATGAATATAATTAGATAAATGAGTTGGGCAGTACTTTTCTTTTATTCCTTTTTTTTTTTTTAGTTTAGAAAGCTAAAGATTGATTTTTTCCCTTGAAAGATTGATTTTTCTTTTTTTAAAACAAAGGTTGCCCAATGTTAAAATCAGTTTCAGTATAATAGTAGGAAGATGTATGAGTCAGAAATTAGAAAAATATTTGTTGCCCTTGTAATTATAAGAAAGAAATTGTGAACAGTGATATTAATACTTGGTAAAGCTCATCTGTATAATGGTAGGAAACTTACTAAACCATGAGTTTATCTTTGCATGTCTCTGTATCTTTCCTCTAGTTGCTTGATGTGCTACAGCAATACTGTATGGCATCTGGACTTGATTACCGACGACTTGATGGAAGTACAAAATCAGAGGAAAGAATCAAGATTGTGAAAGAATTCAACAGTACTCAAGATGTAAACATTTGCCTTGTCTCTACAATGTAAGAAAATAAAATTTTATAACTTGATTTCTATCTAATTGCTCTTAAGATTTAAGATAATCCTTAAACTATTACTGGATTTTCAGTGGTTATGCTTCTATTGCTGTGTGTTCATTTAGCTTTAAGGAGAAGCAACAGAAATGCTATTAATTTTGACTGGGATAACAATATTGAGTTTTATCTAAACTTTTCTGTCAGTTCCATTATTTTCATCCTCTTTATATGTCTAGCTTTGTTTTTTAAAATATCCGAAAAGTGAATGCTTGGCTCATGTGTTGTGGTTAGAACAGTCAGACTTAATTGAATAATCAAGTTATTAATTGAATAGTTGGGAGTCACATGTGTCAGTGATTTTCAAACTGGTCAGGGAACCCTTGAGAACCCGTAAGGCTTAATGGACCAGGAGTTTCGCTCCTCTGTCTCTACCTGGTCTCAAGGAGAGCAGCTGAACATTTATAGGTTTTATAAAGTTAAATCAGTTCTAACACTTGTTTATGAATCTCAGTGAACTTTTTAAGACATACACATACTTTAGAGAAAAATTTAAGTTGATATAAACACCTGAGAAGATTAGTCTCTTTTGGCAGGGGTAACAAATCTGTTTTTAACGTCTAATATAATAATAAGTATTTTATAGATATACTCCCACTGTCTTTCAAAAGGAATTTCAAAGGACGTTTATTTATTTATTTATTCAAGTTTGTAATATAGTTGACTTATAATGTCATGTAAGTTTCAGGTGTACCACAGAAAGATTCAATAACCTATATTATTTTTCAGGTCCTTTTCCCTTTTTTATTATTGCAAAATACTGAGTATAGTTCTCTATGCTATACAGTAGGTTCTTGTTGGTTATCTGTCTTATATATAGTAGTGTATATATGTTAATCCCGTCCTCCTAATATATCCCTCCCCTCCCTTGATATGTGAGTCTTTTTCTGTTTTAAATATAAGTTCATTTGTATCTTTTTTTTTGATTCCATGTGTAAGTGATATCATATGATATTTATCTTTATCTGGCTTACTTCACTTAGTAAGATAACCTCAAAGTCCATCCATGTTTCTACATTGTATATATATGAATTTATCCATTCATCTGTGGATGGACATTTAGGTTACTACCATGTCTTGGCTCTTATAGATAGTCCTGCAATGAACACTGGGATGAATGTATCTTTTCCAATAATAGTTTTCTCCAGATATATGCCCAGGAGTGGAATTGTAGGATCATATGGTAATTATACTGTTTTTCATAGTGGTTATACCAGTTTACATTCCCACCAACAGTGTAGGAGGGTTCCCTTTTCTTTCTCCAGCATTTATTATTTGTAGACTTTTTGATGATGGCCATTCTGACTGGAGTAAAGTGGTACCTCACTGTAATTTTGTTTTGCATTTATCTAATAATTAGTGATTTTACACATTTTTTTATGTGCCTGTTGGCCATCTGTATGTCTTCTTTGAAGAAATGTCTGTTTAGGTCTTTTGCCCATTTTTTGATTGGATTGTTTGTTGTTGTTCTTGATATTGAGCTTTATGAGCTGTTTGTATATTTTTGAAATTAATCTCAAGTGACTTTTAAAAAAAAACGTATAAAATACAAGAAAGGAAAAAGTAAGTTAAAAAAAAATTTCTTTGGAAATTCCCTGGAGGTCCAGTTATTAGGACTTAGTGCTTTCACTGCCATGGGACATGTTCAGTCCCTAGTAAAGGATCTAAGATCATACAAGTTATACAGCATGGCCAAAAAACAGAAAAATTACAGTGAGAAATCAAATATATATGGTGAGTGAGCTACTTAACTGCTGAGGACCAAAATTATTCTTGAATTCTTGCAACTAAGGCCTGAGAAGCTCTAGATTTCCATTTACCTGTGAATGATTTCAAGAAGAATTTCACAAATGAGTCCTTAAATACTCAGTATTAAATGACATAGAACACTGTCTTCAGCTAAGTTTTATCAAACACACATAAGCATTCTTAATTTTTAAATAATGTTTTAAAGGTAATAAATGCCTTCAACAACAGTTCAAATAGTACAGGATTTATCATAACAACCAATTATCTTTCATTCCTATTCTGCTCACCTGTAGTCCAGTTTGATAAGCTCTGCCCTAAAGTTCCTAATTATCACTTCAGCTATATTGCAAATTGCTATTTAATCTGTCTATTGAATTTTTAATTTTAAAATCTATTTTTTATGTTTAGAAGTCCTGTCAGCTGATTATTCAGCAAAACTTTGTAAGACAGGAGGGAGTCATTATATTTAAAGTACTGAAATGGGGAAAAAAAAAAACTTACGGCCAAGAATACTTTACCCAGCAAGGCTGTCATTCAGAATTGAAGGAGAGAAGTTTGCCACGCAAGCAGAAACTAACAGTTCATCATCACAAAAAGGATCCTATAACAAATGTGAAAGGATCTTCTTCAAGTGAAAGGAAAAGGCCATAACCAAAAATAACAAAATATATGAAAGAAAAAAAATCTCACTAATAAAGACAAATATATAGTAAAGGCAGCAGTTCAAACCCTTAAAAAGGGGTAGAATGAAGATTAAAAGACAGAAGTTGCAGAACTATCTTCAATATTTAAAATGGAAAAAATCTGAAAAACAATGTAACTGAATCACTTTACTATGCATCAGAAACTAACACAACATTCTAAATCAAATATACTTCGATTTTTTTAAAGAAGGAAAAGTTTTAAAAATAACTACAACTACATTAAGTAGTTAGGTAATACAAAAAATAGAAAGATGTAAAATATGATATTCAAAACATAAAACATGGAGTGGGGGAGTAAAGATGTAGTGCTTAAAAGCATTCGAACTTAAATAACTCATTTTAAAACCGATTTATGTAATGTGTGTATGTGTGTATATATATAAAAAATTGTGTATATATGTGTATATAAATATATATGTAAGTATACATATATGTATGTGTATATATGAGCTGGACTGTAAACAAGGCAGAATGCCAAAGAATTGATGCCTTTGAATTACAGTATAGGAGAAGACTCCTGAGAGTCCCGTGGGCAGCAAGGAGATCAAACCAGTCAACCTTAAGGGAAATCAACCCTGAATGCTCATTGGAAGGACTGATGCTAAAGCTGAACCTCCAGTATTTTGGTTATCTGGTGCAAACAGCTGACTCTTTGGAAAAGTCCCTGATGCTGGGAAAGATTGAGGGCAAAAGGAGAAGAGGGCATGTGAGGGTGAAATGGCTGGAGAGCATCACCAACGCAATGGATATGAACTTGGGCAAATTTCAAGAGATGGTGTGGGACAGAGAGGTGTTGTGTTGGGTCCATGGGGTCTCAAAGATTCAGACAAGACTGGGTGACTGAACAATAATCCTAAACCAAAAATTTACAATAGATACAGAAAAATTAAAGGAAAAAAACCCAAACATAACACTAAAGAAAGTTATCATACCACAAGGGAAGAGACTGAAAGAAGAGCAAAGAAGTATTACAAAAGCAAGCAGAAAACAGTTAACAAAATGTCAGTGTCAGTAAGTATACACCTACAGTAGTATTAAACAGTCTTCAAACCATCTGACAGTTGCACTCATCTCCGATGCTAATCTAGTAAGGTCCTAATTAAACTGTTTCATGGTAGGCTTCAGCATTACGTGAGCCAAGAACTTCCAGATGTTCAAGCTGGGTTTAGAAAAGGCAGAAGAGCCAGAGATCAGGTTGCCAGCGTTCACTGGATCATAGAGAAAGCAAGAGAATATCAGAAAAATATCTACCTCTGTTTCATTGACTGTGCTAAAGCCTTTTACTGTGTGGATCATAACAAACTGTGAAAAGTTCTTAAAGAGGTGGGAGTACCAGAACATCTTACCTCTCTCCTGAGAAACCTGTATGTGGGTTAGGAAGCAACAGTTAGAACCCTGTATGGAACAACTGATTGGTTCAGGATTGAGAAAGGAATATCACAGGGCTCTCTGCTGTCAACCTGTTTATTTAACCTATAAACTGAGCACACCATGAGAAATGCCAGACTGGATGAGTTATAAGCTAGAATCAAGATAGGCAGGAGAAACATCAACAACCTCAGATATGCAGATGATATCACACTAATGGCAGAAAGTGAAGAGGAACTAAAGAACCTCTTGAGAAGAGTGAAGGTGAAGAGTGAAAAATCTTGGCTTAAAACTAAATATTAAAAAAGCTAAGATCATGGCATCTGGCTCCATTACTTCATGGCAAATAGAAGGGGAAAAGGTAGAAGTAGTCACAGATTTCCTCTTCTTGGTCTCTAAAATCACAGCAGATAGTGACTGCAGCCATGAAATCAGAAGACGATTGCTTCTTTTCAGAAAAGCTATGACAACCCTAGACAGTGTGTTGAAAAACAGAGACATTACTCAGCTGACAGAGGTCCGTATAGTCAAGTCTGTGGTCTTCCCAGTGGTCATATACAGTTGTAAGAACTGGGCCATAAAGAAGGCAGAATGCCAAAGAATTGATGCCTTTGAACTGTGGTGCTGGAGAAGACTCCTGAGAGTCCCTTGGACAACAAAGAGATCAAACCAGTCAATCTTAAAGGAAACCAGCCCCGAATATTCATTGGAAGGGCTGATGCTGAAGTTGATGCTCCAGTATTTTGGTCACCTGATGAGAATAGCTCACTCATTGGAAAAGTCCCTGATGCTGGGAAAGACTGAGGGCAGAAGGAGAGGAGGGCGTCATAGGAGAAGATGGCTGGATGGCATCAACAGTGCAATGGACAGAAACTCGGGCAAACTTCGGGAGATAGTGAGGGACAGGGAAGCCTGGATGCTGCAATCCATGGGTTCACGGAGAGACAGACACAGCTGGGCAACTGAACAACAGCAATATACGCCTATCAATGAAGTCAGAGATAAAAGAGAAGTTACAGCCAATATCACAGAAATACAAACACTCATAAGAAACTGCTGTAGACAATTATGTGCCAACAGATTGGACAACCTGGAAAAAAATGTATAAATTCTTAGAGACATACAGTC